CGGCAGCCCGCGGCCGGGCCTGCACGACCCTCGCGCGATTGTTCCGCGGGGTGTGTAGGCTTGGGCTTGCCCATGGAGGCAACCACCGTTTTCCATCTCGTCGAAGAAGAGGATTTGTTGTTCTCGAAATCGGAGTGAAGGAAGCACCGAAGCGAAACTTTAAAAGGAATCCTGCTTTCCCCGAGCTGCGGGCGATGCGACTCGGGCCGCCGGGCTCCGCTGCCGCCCGCCGGGCTTCGCCCTTCGCGGCAGTCCGGAACTTGTTGTGATCCTCGGCCCCCCATCGAATCCCCGCCCTACACTCCTCTGCTCCTTGGATATGTTTTCTCGCAGACCTGGATATTTTTTTCATATCGTGAAACTACGAGGAAAATAACTGCCGGGATTCCTTCTGCTCCCCCTGATTCTCCCTCCCCACGGACATGCCTTCAGTTTGGGGGGCCGAGGCACCCCCTCCTAGGCGAATGAAGCCCCCCAGTCGCGAGGGAGCGAAATGAAGGGAATTTCTGCAGCGGAATGAAAGCTCTGCAGCTAGGTCCTCTCATCTGCCATTTGTCCTTTCAAACTGCATTGTAATACGGGCAGGATAAGTCAGACGGGAGAAGACCAGCCTCCCTGCCGGATTTGTCTGCCCGTATTTACTTTCCATATATATATTTTTCCCCCTCCTGCGTCTTGACTGGTCCAGGGATGACTTCCTCGCTGCAGCGGCCCTGGCGGGTGCCCTGGCTACCGTGGGCCATCCTGCTGGTCAGCACTGCGGCCGGTGAGTAGCCCCGGGTAGCGCGTCCCGGCCACTTGCCCAGCGGTGGCGAGGGAGGGAGCCCTCGGAGGCCCAGGCCTGCGCTCGCCCTTCGCGACACGTCCCCTTGGGTCACTGTGGAGGGGATCTGCTGCCGGGTACCTGCCAGCGAAATCGCCTTTAGTGTTTTCGTGTAATTTCATATCCTCACTCCCATATACCCAACCCCATCCCCCTCCATTGGGGGGGGAAAAAGACATGTTGGGTGTGGTATCTTGACATTTTTAGCTGTGAGGTAATGCAAGGAATAAAAATAATATTTTAATCACCAGTGAACAGTGTCTATTAGGAGATCTTTGGAAACAGAGCTGTAGTCCCCCCCCCCCCACACACACAACAAAAAGAAGCGGATTTGGCTTATAGTAAAAAGAACATCAACTAAACACATACTTGCATTTATTTTTAGATTTCCACCACTCTTTGGGAATGCATGTTACTTTTCATTATTGAAAAATGTTACTGAATGAATAGAATTAATGTTGAGGAAGCCAGACTGGGATTCTTGATACACTCTATAATACTATTTATTACTGTTACCATTCGTATTAATTTGCTACCAAATAATTTGTTCTAGCAATTATATCTCCATCTTTTTAACTTGGACACACTCATTTAATGTGCTTCTGGAATTACTGTTGAGCATTAAGTATTTTGATCACTTTTATTGGTCACCTGTCATTGAGACAACTTTAACTTCACGTCACACTTCTAGGAGATTTGACTCCTGAAAGGATTTTGACATTTTACTGAAATGTAAAAGGAAACAGTCATCCTTTTCTTTGGCTATTTCTTTTTAAATTCTCAGCCACCTTAAGAAAAAAGCCCATGTTCACAATGCAACTGCATTTTTCAAGCAGTCTTTTGGTGATTTGCTTTTAGACATTTTCAGGAGTGAATTGTACATATAATTCTTAAATTTGACAAAGAATAGCCACATGGATTATGCATTTAAAAACAAATGAGAGACAAGAGTGTTGGCTTTCCAATTACTTTTTTTTTTTTTTTTTAACAAATGTGTAGTTTTCACATTGAATAAATTTCTCATTGCTTTGTTAGAGAGGTTATAAAAATCTGTTTTGGGAAAATACTGAAAGAAAATTTAAAGTTTTCTACTGTGCTTTTGGTATTACTGATTCATGTCCATTGTTAATTATGGTAAGTTAATTAGGGTCTGTATTTTATATTAAAATCATGAGCTTCTGAATCGAATATGTTTTGACACTGATTTTAATATTTTTAGTCATTGCAATTATTTTTCAAGTTAAAAATGAACACTTTTTTCTCTAAATTTGTTATTTAGCTCTTTAAATTCTCTAGCCACAAGCCATGTGGTTCTTGTAAAATAAGAAGAATAAAAAAGGCCTTAAGCTAACCAGTCATTCTTTGAGCAGAAATTTCAGAATATTTTTGTTCTTTTTTATTCTTTACTCTTTTGAAATGTAGATTCTCTTTTATAGTGACATGCTTATCTTTTATGATCAGAACTGACAAAAACAAGAGAAGAAAACATTGTTTTTAAAATAAACCATTTGTATTTGGCAAAATGAATATTCTTAGAATAGTGTCCCTTTAAAGGGGATAAATTAATAAAAATGGTGTTAATCTTTTTTCTTTAGTATTACCTAGCACCTGATGACAGTGCTAGGAAACTGGGTTTCAGAGCTGTAACAATAATAATAGCTAGTATTTATTGAGTGCTTTCTGTGCACCAGGACATTTTCAAATAGCTTTACTTTTTTTTTTTTTTTTTAATATCCTCTTGACAATTCTGTACTGCAGGTTGTTATTCCCTTTTTAGAGAGGGAGAGAAAAGTACAGATAATTTAAATAACTAATCACACAGTCAGGAAATTATGGAGACAGGATTATAGCCTGCACTCTTACCCACCACATTAAGTCTAACAACAGCAACAGAGGCAACAACAACTTCTCAGTCTAATTGGAACATGAAGATAGAGTAATGTTTCACCTTTTTCACCTTTGAAAAGTAGTGGGGACATTACAGAGAATAATAGTGTAGGCACTGGTTATGCAGATGTCATGGTTCTAAATGTATAAAACTTTGCCTGATATTGGGGTGGCTAGTGCAGTTTTATTATTTTAAGTTCAAGGTGACCAGAATGGGTTTGGGATATATGGATGTCATGATGTAATTGGACAGATGCACATAATTCACCTGAATAGGAAAAAAAAAATGTACTGGAATACAGAGCACATCCTTCTTTGGGAACATGGATAAATTATTTTTGAATTCCTCTTTCCTACTTACTCTATCTTCTTGGACTCCTTAATTCTTAAAATAGTATGCAAAAAGTTAGGATTTATGAAAAAATAAGATGTACTTTGTTTATAAATAACTTAATTGTAACAAAATACAAGTGTTTAAGTGTCAGCTTCTGTAATGCATTTGAAATAATTCTCTTGACTAGATTTCAATTACATACATCTCCTTTGGGAGCACACATTGTTTCAAGTGAGTCATCTATTTACTTAGTATTGTTGAGCAGTTATTGAATATTGTTGAGTAACTGGAAGTTTAGTAATCTTAATTTCAATGTTTCTAGAAATGTGGACACTGCAACAGAATCAGGCATGATTGAAAAAGTGATCTTTTTAGTCCTGTAGTTTAGTTGTTCTGAATGAATCTCTCTGGGACATTTATTTATTTATTTAAAATTTAATCTCCAGAGAGTATCAGGTAAATTTGACAATGAGTGCTTTATATCATAAAAAATCTGATTAGATTTTTTAAATATGATGATTCAGTCACCTCTTGCTGCATAATAATTTGCAATCACAAAATCTTAGTGGTGTGCAATAGTAAGCATTTCTTCTGCTCCACTTCTCTCATTATGGAGCCCATGCTGGAGGCAGGGTAACATCTACCTGGAAAAAGCTTGTTATCAGTGCTGTGGCAGAAGTTCAAGAGAGCAAGCCCAACCCACCAGCACTTTTCCAGACTCTGGTTCTCTAGCATCTCATTGGCTAAGTCTTACTGCCAAGCTTGAGACAAGGGAGGAGTTGGGGGGTATAGAAGTACATTTTTGCCTCTAGTTCCATTGCACAGGAATGAAGATTAAAACTTTCAATCTACCATTTGAAATGAGGAAGTGGTAGATTGAAGGGAGGAGGCTTTCCTTAACATTTGAATGGAGCTAAGCTCTTAAATAGGCTTTTGCATTAAAATGACACCAGGTTTGGTCTGTACAAAAGCTGTCTTGGAATGTGGTATGCAGTACTGATGTTGGTGTGTCTATGAAATGTGTGGAAAGAGATGTCTGTGACAAAGAAAGACATTTTTTTTTCATTAAAATGTGTGTGTGTGTGTGTACATATATATATATACATATATATATATATATATATATATTTTTTTTTTTTTTTTTTTCCTTCCCCACCCTCCCTGCTTGGGGTACAACTCAGGGCTTTGCCCTAGCATGCAGTTACTTTACTACTGAGCTACATCCTCAGCCAAAGGCCAACGTTTTAGTAGTAAGGAGAAGAGTCTCCATGTTATTGTTTTTATGTATTTATCTTGTCCTCCCAATTAGTAATTGTTTCTAGAGGATAGGTTTCATGTCATTTTGGCGAAGGAGTGCTGGGAATCCAACCCAGGGCCTCTGGCATTCTATCACTGAGCCACCCCCTAGTGCTCATATCTTAAATTGTTTTGTATTGTTCCATATGGCTGTACACATAAGAGATGCTTAAGAAATACTTGGTGAATGAGTTATAAAAAGCAATTGGAGCTTATCGACTCAAAATATTAGTAACTTATTCTTTCTTTGACCTAGTTTCTTCAACTGTACAGCAGTTTAAGAGGCATAGTGGGAAGACCACTGTCCTGAGTTAAGGCCTGGATTCTGACACACCTAACATAGTTCATTTAGTTCTAATTTTATGGGTTTGGACCACATCATGTTTCAAAATGCAAATTCCTGGATACCACTTTAAGTCTTAGTGAATCCAAGTACTTGGTCATTAAAACCTAAGAATCCATATCTATGTACTCTTGAGAACTGGATCTAATTTTATTTCTAATTCTCAGCTTCTACCACTTAATTAATTATTTTTTGGTACTGGGGATTTAACCCAGGGATACTTTACCACTGAGCTACATCCCAGCCCTTTTTGTTTTTTATCTCACTATGTTGCTTAGATCCTCACTAAGTTGCTGAGGCTGGCCTTGAATTTGAGATCCTCTTGTCTCATGAGTTGTTGGGATTATGGGCCTGTGCCACTGTGCCCAGCTATTTTTATTTTTACTTTTTGCGCTAATTATACCTTATTCTGGAGCTTTTAGTCACCATCAATACCAAATATTTCTTATTTGTATTTTAAGCAACTTCCTTTTTCTTTTTACCATTTGCAGTGTTTCTCTTGCCTTTTTTTTTTTTTTTTTTTTGGTCTTAGGGTGATATATTACTTAATGAAAAAGGCTCTATTGACCCAGTATTTATGTATGCTAATTTAGCTCATATTTTTATGTTGGTCATTTTATTTTCCTTATACTTCTGTCAAAAGGAGAAATTACTTATTAGTAGAAAGAAGAGTTTTAGTAAATTTGGATGAGAATTATTGATGAGGTATAAAGGGATTAGAGTTAAATTTAATTAGACTAGACAATTTTGTTTTGATTTTAGTTACAAATTAATATTCAGTTGAGCCTTTTCCAGGTGGATAAATTGCATATAGTATTTGATCAATGTTTACTAGAAAAAAATAAATGTGGGTGCTGTGATATCTAGGAATTCATGATTTTTTTTTTTTTTTTTGGTACCAGGGATTGAACTCAGGGGCACTCAATCACTGAGCCACATCCCTAGCCCTTTTTGTATTTTATTAAAGACAGGGTCTCACTGAGTTGCTTAGCACCTTGCTAAATTGCTGAGGCTTGCTTTGAACTCGCAATCCTCCTGCCTCAGCCTCCCAAGACACTGGGTATTACCAGCATGCGCCACCTG